TCCTTCTCATATTAGGTATATATTACATAAATCAGAGAAATTTTAAATATATAAATTTTATTAAAATTAATAATGAAAACTTTATTTTTTAATAGAGTTGAAGTTTCCAATATTATACATTCACAAAAGTTTTATTAAAATTTAAAGAATTTTGGAAAAAAATTTAAATAGACTGTAATGTTTGAGTGTCTTCCAAAATTAGTGTTGAAGCTGTTTGTCTATACCACTAAAAATGTATATTTTTGGGGATTACGTTATTTCTAAAAACCATTCAATTCTTTGATAAGAATACTTTTTTCTTACTTGTACCCCAATGACCACCTATCAGTGATTTCCTATCACCTGAATGATTCATAAGGGGTATAGAACTTTCTCATCAAATTCGTTGGCCTCTCATTTCAAATCGGAGTATTTTATCGGAGTATTCCACATTTTAATTTTTGACGGGAGACTAGATTTATCTTTTAGCAATATAATTTTCTTTTACATATATATGAATTAAATTTCTACAAATCCATTCAAAGCCAGAAATGATGCTGAAAGGTTGAACGGTGAGCGAGGAATCAAGCGAAAACAATAACTATAAATGCCTTACTAACAAAGCAGCTGATTCTAACAAAGCAGCATTTTATTATCCAATACCTTAGGCAAGTTCTATTCCAAGAATAGATCTCACTTGTGTTTACTTCTTCCTTTTGTAATAAATACGATTTTTGCTTCCCACAGAATTATTTGCCTACCTCATATTTATTCTATTTTGAATAATGAATTTCATTTGAACAATATAATAAAAAAAAGTACTAGTAAGAACATATGAACACACTCACTTATACACTTTTATTTATAAATCGTCTAATTTAGCACAAAAGTGCAAAAATGTGCAATTGAATGCAACAAAAATCAAAATCGTGTAATTTAATCCAAAAACAGCAAAACGTGCCATTTCGCGGAATATAAAATTTAAATATGTTATTTTACAGGTTATGAAACGGATAGATGTTTGGGTCCGGTCTTTTTACACGCAAGCGAATAAAAAGTGCAATAACAAGGAAATCCGCTCTCTACTTATAACCAAAGGACCTCACTAAAATTCATTCATTTCGAACTTAGATAACTTTTTTTTTTGTCTTTAAGACTTGTCTAATCAAATTCTATTTCGCCAATAAAATATTTTAATTGTCAGAGTAACATGAAATTAAACTGGGTATATATTTCTGGATATATGATTATTGAATGTAATTAACTCATGATTGTAGCATAAATAAAATATGAAACTGAAAGGAGTTTCATAAAAAAATCAAATGTTTTACTAGATAACGGGTGTCATCTTCATTCATTGACTCAATAAAGTTAGCTCCATCATCCGTAGTTTGCCATCCTAAACTTTTTTTTTTCGTTTCTCTAATTTTTTACACTGAAAGGCAATATGTCTTGAATCCTGCAGGCATGGGTACGTTGGGCATCGACCACTCTTAGATATTTTGAAAAAAAATTATTGTATTAGATATCTTTGTTGTGAGTGATTTCTGCGAGCAAACCCAATTTGCCAAAATCTGTTAGTTAGAAACTTTTCAAACCAACCTTTTCACCAAACTTTTCACGAATGTGGAATAAAAAAAAACAGTATTTCGCTGAATCCCATCTATGGCTGAATTGAAGGCCTAAGTGGTTGATCGGAAATACATGAAAAAAAAAGCTTCGAATGACAAAGATTGAAAGGAATCAAGAGTTTTCTGTTTTTAGCTTGGCTTAGTGGCCCTCCATTTTTAAACGATTATAATGGTAGGTTGTCTTTCCCTGGGGCCTTTCTTGTTTGGAGCTTTTTCGATAGCTATTTCTACATCCAGCATATCTAGTATTTCAACCTTTTCTAGGTCAAGGTCCTCTGAATGGTCCATGGTTTCTTCGTTCCTGGGGTCCCTTGATTGAGAAGTTCCTGGAAATTAATGTTGCCCGAAATCGGTCTTGGTCTTGCACTTTGCAAGACCAAGACCAACACCGCCTATCTGTTGCAAGACCAAGACGAAGACTGGTAAAAAAAAAATCGAGTTTTTGAACAAAAATTGAGGCAAAATACTTACTAATACTTGACAAGTTTAGCTAATATATGTAAATAATTAGTGTAGCCAATATACTTTTGCATTTAACTCTTCTAATTTTTCATATAGACTTAGTTAGGTTTCTCATATCTAAAAAATCACAGTAATATCTCTCTAGTAATAAGCTAATAGGTAACTGCAAGACTTTTACGAGAGTCTTGCGCGAGACCAAGACTGAGTTGTCAAGACCAAGACTCATCTCGGTCTCGCATTTGGGCAACACTACAGGAAATGTTCTTTCCAGACGATCAATGTCTTTTCTTTAGATGCCGTCAGAATGCCATCTTTTCCTCGCATTTGCATATTTTTTGCTTTATATTCTACCGTTTCTTTCCTAATGTCTGCCTATATATCGCGTATAAGCTTGCCAGTTGTCTTCAATGGTTTGCACTCACTCTTTCTTTCAGGAATCCCCTTTTTGTCCATCTTCTAATTTTTTTTTTTTCTCCTTTTCTTGAGAGGACATTCATCTTTCTTCTTTCCCCAATTGTCGTTTCGCATGAAATATTGACGATCATACAAAATTACTGGTTTTCAAAAAGGTTTATAATATCAATAAAAATATCGACTCTTAATATTATCGATAAATCGAGTGCTATATTTTCAGTGTATCGATAGCAGTAAACCAGACTCATGACTAGCCTAGTTTAGACGTAATTGCTAAAATATGATATATTAGAATGTTAAAATAAGAGAGATGGATAAAAAGTAAAATGTAAACCAAAGAAAAAAAATATGAACTTATGTAAGAAAATAATAGAATTAAAAAGGAAAAGGAAAATATTGTAAAATCAGAACAAACCGACTATTTACGTTTTTTAACCTATTTGTTAGTTCTAACTACTTTATTATTTAAATGTAAACATTAATGTCAATTATGTAAATTAAATGTTAATTAACCCAATAAATGGATTGGTCGTGCAGGACCAGTGGCTTGGCTAGATTTCTGCATCACTGGAATTTTTTTTTGTTTGAGGTGACATTAATCAAAAAGTCTATGCAAGTCCGGTCAATGACTTTAATTCCTTATAGAGAAAGATAATTGAATCTTATGAAACAATAACACATATCCACTGCCGTTCTGCCACTGCTGCTGTTGAAGAAAAATGCCGAGGAGGTTTTAATACTGAAGGAAATCACTTTTAACAACATTTAATATGAATTTAATGTTTAGGTTTAATTAATAAAGTAGTTAGAACAAATAAATAAGTTTTGTTTATTTGATATGACGTAAATAATTCATAACAATTAAAATTTTAAGGTGTGAATACCTCCTAAACAAAGCGTTAGCAAACATGCATTTAGAGAATTTTTTTTTCATGCTTTATGGTCCGTAGTTCATTTTTGCAGTTTGGCCACTTAACCCTGAAACACCATGTATAGTATAATTTTATTATTACTCAGCATTAGCTCTGTTTACGCTTGGTCTAATTCTGCCCGTTGGTCTTGAAGTTGAATTGAAGTTATTGTGGAGAGGAGGAATTTTTCTACATAACAAAATTATAGACAATTAAAAAAAAATTGCCAAAATCTTACCGTTTCCCCTAAATACCAACTGTTCCGCTGTAGGTTTCACCTGTTGCAATTGATAAATCAAAGAAATAGACAATTTCTGGGAGTCGAGTTAAAGCCAGATCATTGCAAGAGCCATTAGCAGCTTCGGAATGTCAAACCGAAGATCAATAATGATCACTTTTTCACTAACGACTACTCCTAACTGCTGCACGTGTTAAATTGCTCTTAAAAATTTAGTTTCTCCATTTGAATTGCCTTATTTGTATCTTTTCCTTATGGCTATTTAACCCGAACTGTAATATATATAAGCGAATCTCGTTGGAGACTACACAATTCAACAAAATGAAGACCATCTTAGTCATCTTCCTGTGCGCTTTAGTATTTCAGACCATACTGCCCACAGATGGTGAGTATAAATACAGTCAAGATTTTTATTTCACTCTTTCAATTATTTTGTTATTCTGCTTATTTTTTTATCACGGAATTATTTAACGATAATCCTTCTAATGTCAAGATATTAACAAATAACCAACGATTACAGAAATATTATTATAATAAAAATTGTATTTCATATCATAGTTCAGCTAATGTATTTCGAAATAAATAACACGAGTAATAATAAAAACACGTATCATTGGCAGAATTAATTAAGTTTAAAACAACCAAAAAGTGAACAAAAATATCTTTTATTGAGGCTAAAACTTAGTTTTGATTTGAACCCATCTAGATTTTTATTTCATTCTTTCAATTATTTTGTTATTCTGTTTATTTGTTCATCACGGAATTATTTGACGATAATCCTTCTAATGTCAAGATATTAACAAATCTGCACTGAAATTCATTCTTTTTGTACATTTTTAAGTTTGTTTTTAATCAGGAGGTTTATTTTGGTAAGGAGAATAATTAATTTATATTCCCAATATTTAACTGAAATCTAATAACATCTTGTTTGGTGCGCCTATGTGCTAAAACATCAATACTTATATTGATAATCATATTTCAAAAATGCATAAAACATCAATGAAAATATCGACTCCTCATAATATCGATCATTTAAGTCCTATATTTTTATTGTATCGATAGTAGTAAACAAATATTTTTATCGCTGATAATATCCATATTGGGCTTTCGATATTCCAACCCTAGTTTGGAGACCCTTGATCTAAATGAAAATTAGGATAAACATTAATATGAAATATAATGCACCTGTTTATTTTTGAGAAATTGAATAAAATAAAAATGTTTTACAGGTCAAGATGTAAGTAATAATAACAAAGCAGCTGGTTTCGTGCAAGTGAATGATGATGACACACAGGTTGTGCAAGGTGGTGGAAGAAACTTGGGTGGTGTCGTGAAGTTAGGAGGGTGAAACAGCTGGTGATGATTCTAGTGATAACCGAGGGTAGCAGGCTCAACAATAGTTTGTAGGATAGAATAGAATAAACTATTATGTACTTCTCCACTAATACAAATATATTTAACCATGAAAGATGTAATTAAATGAAAAATATAATTATAAAAAATTAATGGAAGTGTATTATTTACCTGTTCAAGAGTTTCAAGGTAAAACTATACAAGTCACTATAGTTATGAAGTAAATAATGATAACAACATATAAAATATTATCAAAAGTTCGCATAAATGTTCTATTATGAAAATGAGAGTAGAGGATTTGTAGTTTGCTGTATCTACTTGTTTTTTGTTTGTTGGATGTTAATTTTAACTATTTAATAATCTATTTAGCTTTATATAGGAGGTTCGATTATAAGTCATAATTCTGTTATCGATTTTTTTTTCCTGGGATTAGAGTGGATCAGCTGATGCGAAGGTTGTCTCCTCAACTCCTCTCTCAGTTTTTACCAATTTTATAGCGGAATCTTTCTGATTATTCACGTGATACAGTTAAAGTGTATATCAGAGCAGTTGATATTTACTGTTGGCATCTTTTTTTTTGTTATTTTATGAAAAAAAAAAATTTTTTTATTTATTTTTTTTTTTTTCTCTTATGATATGCGGTATGATCAGCAAGTGATGGCCAGTAAGGTGCCCAACAGGTCTCGGTCAGACGGAGTTAGCTCACCAGCCAAACAAAGGACTAGTCGCTGCCTACGAGAAATACCTCCAGTGACCAAAATGAACACTTCAGAACCAGAACCTCAGCCCCAACCAGGTACGTCTGCACAAGAAACGATTGAAGAATCGCCTTTCTTTACTCCAAACCGAGAAGTAATGGAGTCTGCAGCAATACCCAGAGAACCAAAGCCTCCTCCGATATTTGTGAAAAATATAAAAAATTGCCAGATGTTCTGCACCCAACTAAATAAAATCTGCTCTGGCAGTTATTCATGCCTTAACAGGACCAATGACAACAAAATAACACCTGATACTGCAGAGCCTACCGAAAAATAGTGAAGTACTATCAGAAACAAATGCGAATTTTCACACTTACCAGCTGAGGCAGGAAAGAGCTTTACGAGTAGTGATAAGAAATTTACACTCCTCAACCCCCACTGAAGTTATTAAAGAAGAACTAACGACGCTTGGTTTCAATGTACGCCAGGTAACAAACGTTTTGAAGGAGGACAGGGAGCAGCCAGGATTACGAAATAGGATCCCACTACCATTGTTTTTCGTGGACTTGGAGCCATCACCAGGTATCGAAAAAATATATGATATCACAAGAATATACTACACAATGGTGAAAGTTGAGAAGCCATATCCCAAGAGAGACATCGTGCAGTGCCATAATTGTCAGACCTATGGCCACACGAAGACATATTGCCACCATCTGCCGCGTTGCGTGAAGTGCGGTGAACAGCACAAATCTGTAGAGTGCACCAAACCTATACAAGATCCAGCAATATGTGCCCTATGCTTGGAGGAATACCCGGCCAACTACAAAGGCTGCCAAATTTACAAGAATCTCAAAACCAGACACCAGAAAAACCGGATTCAAGATGAAGCACTAAGAACAAGAAGAGAGAGAGAGCCTTCCAGAATTGTAAACAATGATGTATCATTCTCCCAACTACTTAGAGGTAAGACTTTAACCGATAAATGTCAAGCCCTGCCACAACAACAACCTCAACCCCAACCTCAAAATCCTCTTCATCCTAATATACCTAACCACCAACAACAAATTCCTCATATTCCTCCTCCTTCAAATGCAACAGATCTCACAAGTTTGTTAGCATCTTTCCTCACCGATTTCAAATCCCTTGTTACTCCACTCATATCACTCCTCACGAATCTCTTATCTCACCTCATCCCTCCTTTGAAAAATCCTTAAATGACTCACATCCCTAAACCCATATCCATTCTCCTTTGGAATGCGAATGGTGTTAGAAATCATACAGACGAACTATCTACTTTAATACTTGACAAGAACATTGATGTGGCACTAATTACTGAAACTCGACTAACCACTAAACAGCACTTCAATATACAACAATACCTGACATATCGTACTGACCACCCTGACGGAAAAGCACATGCCTGTACTGCTGTAATTGTACACCAATCCCTCTCACATCACGTACTCCCATTACCAATACATGATTTCCTACAGTCCACCGCTATCGTGATAAAAACCTTCTCCTTTCCGGTTACTCTTGCATCAGCGTATTGCCCTCCTAACCAATCCATATCCAATGCCCAATTCAGTTCTCTCCTCGACTCCTTAGGACATCACTTCATCTTGGGTGCAGACCTAAATGCCAAGCACCAACAATGGGGTTCCAGAACCACGAATTCTCGTGGCCGAACCCTGCTGTCTGCACTCAATTCCCAAGGTTTTCACCTCCTTTCCCCCAACTCTCCTACCTACTGGCCCACAGATCCCAACCGTAATCCTGATCTTCTTGATTTCTTTATTCATAGCGGCTTAAGTCCCCTCAATTGTTCCATTACACGTCTAAATGAACTTTCCTCTGACCATAGTCCTCTAATCCTTAATGTTTCACTTGAACCTGTTCCCAAACCTTCTCCACCGTCATTCATTAGGGGCCCAGTAAACTGGGACCTTTTCCGCCAAATAATCTCCGATAATATTGATCTCAACATATCCCTCAAAACTCCCGATGACCTTGATAGTGCCGTAAATTCCTTTACTACCACAATCCAACAAGCCGCCTGGACTGCCTCCTTCCCAAAAGACTCCTCCAGAATTCCTATAAAGACCATTCTACCCCAACACCTCCTTAACCTAATCCGCACCAAACGCCGTGCCAGATTATTATGGCAACGTACCCGACATCCTACCGACCGCTGCTCCTATAATTACTACTGCAAACATTTAAAACTGGAATTAGCCACCTTCAGATCACAATCCTTCAACTCCTACCTATCCTCCCTCTCTTCTCGCGGCCATTCCCTTTGGAAAACCACAACAAAAATCCTAAATCCTCACCGCATTTCCCATCCTCTCCTACGAGGTGATGGCTCCTGGGCAGCATCTGACGAAGATAAAGCTGAGGAGTTCGCCACTCACCTATCCAATACATTTATTTCACATCCGGAATCCCATCCTGCCCACACCGTAACAGTAGAAGAACTCCTTACATCACCAATCCCACTTTCCTTGCCCCCAAAAGCTATTCATCCTTCCGAAGTAAAATTTCAATTAAAAAAACTAATCCCCGTAAAGCTCCTGGACATGATCTCCTTACACCTCAAATCCTTCGACAACTTCCATCCAAAGCAGTCATATTCCTTACATATATCTACAATTGTATCCTACGCACCACCCACTTCCCTCTGTTATGGAAACACTCCACTATTATCCTTTTCCCAAAACCAGGAAAACCTCTCAATAGCTCAACATCCTATAGACCAATCAGCCTACTCCCAATCCTTTCAAAAAATTTTGAAAAGATCCTTTTGAAACGAATCCTAATCATTATAGAATCCCAAAATATCCCTTCCCATCAGTTTGGTTTTCGCTCTCAACATTCTACTGTTCAACAAGGACTCCGAGTTGTTGAACATATTTCCTCAGCCCTAGAAAACAAGGAATACTGTTCGGGTGCCTTTCTGGACATTGCACAGGCATTTGACCGGGTATGGCACTCCGGACTGCTCTCCAAGCTTAAAATCCATTTACCTCAGTCCTTGTACCTAGTCCTCCGATCCTACCTCTCTGACCGCTCCTTTCGAGTTCGCTGTGGAACAGAATTTTCCAATATCTACTCCGTTAAAGCCGGTGTTCCCCAAGGCAGCGTCTTGGGTCCCGTGCTTTACATCCTCTTTACTGCTGACATCCCTGTTCATCCCGATACTTTTCTTGCAACATTGGCTGACGACATCGCAATCTTATCATCCAACTCTGATCCCGAAATAGCGTCCTTAAATCTCCAAAGCCACCTCACCTTGATTGAGCACTGGTGTAATAACTGGCGCATTAAAGTTAATGAATCTAAATGCCAACATATTACCTTTACACTCCGACGCAATTCCTGTCCACCAGTAATCTTTAATTCCATACAGCTTCCTTACTCAGACACAGTCCGGTATCTTGGCTTTCATTTAGACCGAAGACTAACTTGGAACCCGCATACTAGACTCAAAAGACAAGAACTCAACCGACGATACGGCCAACTATACCGACTACTAAGCCGAAAATCTAAACTTTCCATTGAAAACAAGCTACTGGTCTACAAGACAATACTGAAACCTATTTGGGCTTACGGACTAGAACTGTGGGGATCAGCAACATTTTCTAACATCAAGCGCATCCAATCCTTCCAGTCTAAAGTCCTTCGAACAATAGTCGATGCTCCTTTCGATGTAACCAACAAAACCCTACATCATGACCTCAACATCCCATTTGTCCTAGACATTATCCCAGAAAAATTCTCCAAATTTCACCAGAACCTTAATTACCACCCAAATCCTCTTGCACAATCCCTATCAAGCACCTCCCATCCCTATAATCCTCCAAGAAGGTTGAAACGGCAGTGGCCTCGCGACCTTTTGTAGATTGTATAAATTGGAGTTCTGGCAATGGCCAGATTCTTCACTCAAGACATGAGTGTATGTGGCTAAAGTGCTCTCGACCAATCTCCGCTGGCTTTAGTACCAGCGACGCGGTTGGGAGAGTAGCGCAGGGTTCTCCTGGAGTTCCCTCGCGTGATTGTATATAGGTATGCATGTGTTTTTTTTTCTTAGTTTTAATTTTCTTATTTTTTAGGTTATTTTATTTTATTGTCTATTGTATATACTTTTGATTATTATTTTGTTCTATTTGTTTTATTTTTTTGTACATATGGTGTGAATGTCATCCTACCTCACTATAACCAATGTCCAACAGACAGATTGTTATAATACTCAATAAAGAAATTTAAAAAAGAAAAAAAAGATTTTTTTCCTGATTAATTTCCCATTTTTTCCCTGTCGCTTTTGGCAATTCTTATTCTCTTCCTTGTAAAAGGATTTTAAAATCCTTTTAACAGATTCGTAGGGCAGAGGAGGATTAGTTTCTGGAATTTCCGAGGCGTTCATCAGCTCATCATCTTTTTCGTTTTCTGGTAGACCGCAATGTCTTGAAACCAATTGGAAAGGCACACGGTTTCTTTTTAATTAAATTACTAATCCGATCTCTGGCACTTGTGACATCAGCATGGTCCAGGCCATTGCAGATCGACAGTATGGCTGCTTGTGAATCGACAAAGATCACAACTTGGGGACAGTGGCGGATCCAGGAATCTTCTCAGGAGAGGGGCGCACCTCTGTACCAGGTGCTTCCCCCACCACCACCCATCTCCCCCCACTCCTCAGCTGAGTTTAGCCGCTCAAAAGTCCTCTTTAAATGATTTTAACAAAAGCAAACTCTATTTTTATTTAAAGTAAATTTTATCTAGTTTACAGTGAAGTAATCGCTAATTACTTAAATTAAATAGTTTTTTTGTTATTACTTCCTATTCAACAAAAATGTAGCTTACATGAAAAATCGTAAAACATTTTTGGCCAAAATTGAACCGTTGTTTACATAAACTTTTTGTATTTATTGAGTTCGTTTGTATTTGAGAGATTGAGTTTGTATTTATATTTATTTATTTCCCTCTACTTACAAGACATCCAGCATATAGGTTTAGACATGTAAAAAACTGAATCGCTGATAAGGGACACCAAGATAAAACTTCTTACAGCCAAATCCAGATTTATCTGATTTTTTTTTCATGTATTACTACTCAACAGTGCATAAAAGCGTAAAAAGAATTCTTTGAAAAATTAAAGAACGTCAAATTGTGGGTGGAACGAGTACCAAAACGTAATAATTCGATTAAGTGATATGATCGATAGCCACGGTCAATGATCGCTAATTTTTACCAACGTTGTAAAAATCTGAGACAGATGACAATAAATAGCCCTGAAGCTTATAAATGAGTTGAGAATTTTGAGTCAATATTCTGTATAATTGGCCCTATCGTCTGTTAAGTGCTTGTCTTTTAAGTCTAGTGTGTGGGTTCCAAATTAATCTTTGGCATAAGACAAAGTCAAGATACCAGACTGTGTCTGAAAAAAACAGCTGGATGGATACGTGAGAGAGTAATCTTAAATTCGATAGCGTTTCAAAAACTACCCCACAAGTAACGTAATAACAGACCTCTAAATCGAAGAAATCCGAAGCGATAAAATTAATCATTTACAAATCGATAGGAGACTGTACTAGAATACTACAACATGTATCGAAATATAGAAGTAATTTTGAATCAGAAAAATATTTTTCTTCTACAGAGCGTTTCTGGGTTACCTGGCCGGACTGCGAAAATGGACTAAGGACCTCAAAACCAATAAAAAATTTCCCCTGAAGATATGTCCGCAAACGTTTTTGTTTAGGAGATATTCACACCGAAAGATTTTTATTGTTATGAATTATTTACGTTTTTTAACCTATTTGTTAGTTCTAACTACTTTATTAATTAAATGTAAACATTAATGTCAATTATGTAAATTAAATGTTAATTATCCCAATAAATGGATTGGTCGTGCAGGACCAGTGGCTTGGCCTGCACGCCCTCTAGACTTCTGCACCACTGGAATTTTTTTTTTTTTGAGGTGACATTAATCAAAAAGTCTATGCAAGTCCGGTCAATGACTTTAATTCCTTATAGAGAAAGATAATTGAATCTTATGAAAGAATAACACATATCCACTGCCGTTCTGCCACTGCTGCTGTTGAAGAAAAATGCCGAGGAGGTTTTAATACTGAAGGAAATCACTTTTAACAACATTTAATATGAATTTAATGTTTAGGTTTAATTAATAAAGTAGCTAGAACAAATAAATAAGTTTTGCTTATTTGATATGACGTAAATAATTCATAACAATTAAAATTTTAAGGTGTGAATACCTCCTAAACAAAGCGTTAGCGAACATGCATTTAGAGAAATTTTTTTTCATGTTTTGTAGTCCGTAGTTCATTTTTGCAGTTTGGCCACTTAACCCTGAAACACCATGTATAGTACATGACATAATTTTATTATTACTCAGCATTAGCTCTGTTTACGCTTGGTCTAATTCTGCCCGTTGGTCTTCAAGTTGAATTGAAGTTATTGTGGAGAGGAGGAATTTTTCTACATAACAAAATTATAGACAATTAAAAAAAAATTGCCAAATACTTACCGTTTCCCCTAAATACCAACTGTTTCGCTGTAGGTTTCACCTGTTGCAATTGATAAATCAAAGAAATAGACAATTTCTGGGAGTCGAGTTAAAGCGAGATCATTGCAAGAGCCATTAGCAGCTTCGGAATGTCAAACCGAAGATCAATAATGATCTCTTTTTCACTAACGACTACTCCTAACTGCTGTAAGTGTTAAATTGCCCTTAAAAATTTAGTTTCTCCATTTGAATTGCCTTATTTGTATCTTTTCCTTATGACCATACAACCCGAACTGTAATATATATAAGCGAATCTCGTTGGAGACTACACAATTCAACAAAATGAAGACCATCTTAGTCATCTTCCTGTGCGCTTTAGTATTTCAGACCATACTGCCCACAGATGGTGAGTATAAATGCAGTCAAGATTTTTATTCACATCTTTCAATTACTTTGTTATTCTATTTATTTTTTTATCACGGAAAGATTTGACGATAGTCCTTCTAATGTCAAGATATTAACAAATAACCAACGGTTACAAAAATATTATTATAATAAAAATTGTATTTCATATCATTTCACATCATAGTTCAGCTAATGTATTTCGAAAAAAGTAATGATAAAAACTCGTATCATTGGCACAATTAACTTAGTTCAAAACAACCATAAAGTAAACAAAGACCCTTGGTCTAAATGAAAATTAGGTTAAACATTAATATGAAATATAAAGCACCTGTTTATTTTTGAGAAATTGAATAAAATAAAAATGTTTTACAGGTCAAGATGTAAGTAATAATAACGAAGCAGTTGGTGTCGTGCAAGTGAATGATGATGACACACAGGTTGTGCAAGGTGGTGGAAGAAACTTGGGTGGTGTCGTGAAGTTAGGAGGGTGAAACAGCTGGTGATGATTCTAGTGATAACCGAGGGTAGCAGGCTCAACAATAGTTTGTAGGATAGAATATAAAATCCTATTATGTACTTCTCCACTAATACAAATATATTTAACCATGAAAGATGTATTTAAATAGAAAATATAATCATAAAAAATATATAGAAGTGTATTATTCACCTGCTCAAGAGTTTCAAGTTTAAAACTATACATGTCACTGAAATTATAAAGTAAATGATAATAACACCATATAAAAATATATGAAAAGTTTTCATAAATGTTCTATTATGAATATGCGATTAGGAGTTTTGTTGTTATCTGTATCTAATTGTTTTTGCTGATTAAATTTTTATTATTTTAGTCAGAACACAAAGACACACAAATATTTTCATTTTTTAAACGTAAATCATTATTCATATGTATTAATTATTATAGATTATACATATGATTGTAGATTTGTTAACTGAAATAAATTAAGAAAAGGAAAATTCAAAGTATTTGAATCTGTCTACTGTCAGGAACAATTTTCCCTTATGGCAGATTCGAATGGATTTTTCATTATTTGATTTGATTAGATTGTTTGGAAAAATTGTAAGGAAAATTAGACCAAATCAAAACACATAATGTATATATATATATATATATATATATATATATATATATATATATATATATATATATATATATATATATATGTATATATATATATATATATATATATTTTTTTTTTTTTTATTTCATGAAATTTACTACTGTATATAAATACAACCAGAAAATATGCACACATTAGAAATAATAACATGAATAGACTTGAAGAAATACTATCCAATGGTAGCACTCTCTATTTAATTCAAGGTAAGAAGATCACGAGGCCATCTTCTTTTCAGATGCCTGGGGATGATTATCAGGAATCGAGGATGAAGCAAGGCTGGAAACAAGTGGATTAGGATGGGGATGATGCTTGCCAAAAAGAATAGATATCTGGCTGGGACTAATCAATTGCATTAAAATAAACATAATTACCGAAAATAGCAATAATAGTCTATATCCCTCTTTTCCCAAAAATCGTTGGCTTTATATTTAAGTTGGAACGAAAAAGATAGTAATCCAAAGGAGTGATGTCGAGTGAATAACATGGGTTAGGTAAAACCTTCCATCCGAAACTATAGATCTGCAGAATCCTAGTAGAGACATGCGGCCCTGTGTTGTTCTGCTAGGTGTATCCATCCATCTTAAAATGGTCAAAGATATTTAAGCAATTTGACATTGTGCTTTTTGCCAACCATTCCCGACAATTACGAGAAATGCTAAAACACCTTCAGGGACCTTTCAAAAAGTTGATCTATACCCAAATCACAATAAGACAAAACTAATGACAAATAGTTCAAGGGGAGAAATAAAAATGAACACCTTCACTCTGGAACACGTGGAGGAATATGTTTACTTGGAACAGTTAATTTCCTTTTCAGATAGAGTTACAAAAGAAGTCCAGAGAAGAACAGCATTTGGCTGGAACAAGTTCTGATCTCTGAAGTACATAACAAAAGGAAACATAAGTATCGACCTAAAAAGGCTAGTTTTCGATAGATGTATCATGCCAGTGGTGACCTATGGCTCCCAAACATGGTCATTGACAAAAGAGAGGAAGAGCAAGATGTGGCAGAATAGCATCGAGAGAAGCATTATGAAAGTAAAGAAGATAGATAAAATGAAATGCAAGAAGATAAAAGAAGAAACAGGACTCAAAGACACACTCTCGCAAACAAGAAAAGGCAGATGCAAATGGCCTCTTTGTGATAGGCTATTATTCAAAACTGTATCTATACTGTATCACGCGACGCAGTGGTAGGGTGGAAAAATGGAAAATAGCATCGAAAACTAAATGATAAAGAGTTTGATAGAAGATATGGATTAAAACATTACAGAAAATAAAAATCATTTAACTGCATACTGTAAGCGAGAGAAATGTTTATTATTTCATCTTCTTTATAGGAAATGAACTATTATTTATGATTTATACTTCATATTATTAATCTCGTCTTGTTGATGTCTTCACTTCTATTGTGTGGTCTACAGAACACACCTTAGTTCTTTTTTATAATTATGCAAATCGTTCAAAAATAGTTAAAAGTCCTATCGAAATGTCCAGAAATGGCTCAGTTCTTGTGCGAAAGCATTTCATAGAAACCGCAAGCGGATCGAGGAAAACTCAATTCCTTACCACTTCGAAAAAATAAAATGGATGCTTATAGGAAATAAATTTAAGTCATCTCATTTTAATGAACATGCAGTGAAAGTAAGAGTACATGATAATAATGAGAGGGCTGAAATAGAAGTATCAGCTGTAAAAATGAACAGATATTTTCACATTTACCAAAATGTACTCTAAATAAATGATTATTTGTAGAATTTACTACAAAGACGAAAGTAAAATATTATGTCGCTAAAATTGTAGTCATGACAAAATCACAAAGACAATTTCGTCCTTTGTATGGTTTCAAGAACTAGATGAATGTGAAATACAAAATGGAGACTTTTTTTACTTTTTACCCAGCGACATTATAAGAGAAACGTGGTGAATTGTGATTATCTGTTCCTATTTTGAGCGGTCAATGACTCAAATAACTTAAAATTTAATAATGATGTAGAGTTGGTTGACCGTTGATATGATATGAGAAGGAATTAGTCGAGGGTGCGGTCAAAAAAAAAAAAAAAAAAAAAAAAATTAAAATATATAAATAATTTTAATTTTTGCCGACGTTTCGACCCACTTTGCAGGTCGTCTTCAGGGCGTTGGATGTGGCACTGCGGGAGGCGGTTGAAACACTGCGTGCAGTGTTTCAACCGCCTCCCGCAGTGCCACATCCAACGCCCTGAAGACGACCTGCAAAGTGGGTCGAAACGTCGGCAAAAATTAAAATTATTTATATATTTTAATTTTTTTTTTTTTTTTTTGACCGCACCCTCGACTAATTCCTTCTCATATCTTAAAATTTAATATATCACAAACAGAACGCGCCGAATTAAAATAATTAATAAGAAACAACAAACACAATAGATAAGAGAAGGAAAACCATGAACTCGATAATTATTTTTAAAACTAAGTCTCCGATAACATAACAAGAGACTCTTAATTCGTAGAAATCCGAATAGTTGAAATTAAATATAGTTATTAGACAATTACATAGATTTTTTAAAATTTATTTATTTAGAAATATTAATCTGTCACATTGACAATAATTATATATATGAACACATCCACACCATATACACAGAAAACATAAAATTAACAAAAGTAAAATAATAACTAAATAGTAATCAAAAACTATGTACAATGAAAAATAAAATAACCTAAAAATAAGTAAATTTAAAACAATCATACTTGTATACAATATCAGGTAGGGGGTACTAAAACCCAAAGCCAGGTTTTCCTCTCCAATTCTCTCTATAAAGAGGCAAAAGCAAGACTCCAACAGCTTCCTGTGCTACCCTCTCAACCGCATCACTTCAGTGGGCGGGGTGGCAGAATGGGCTAACGCCTGTGCACAGCAGCACCGTTGCCCGGCAACCTGATATAAGATTAATGATATAAAAATAGTAAAGATTCGCGTACCGGTGCCAAGGCGTCTTTGAAATCCCCGCCCACTTCCTCTGGCCCGGGAGAACCCCGTATAGCCTTAACGGCGAGGAAGGGGAGGACCCAACAAAAAAAAAATCGGTTTAGCCATAAATACACCACAACATACACTCATATCTTGAGTGGAGAATCTGGCCATTGCCAGAACTCCAAGATATACTGCTATGTATTGTAAAGACCGCCGGTGGAATAATTAGTTGAAAGGTATAAATAAATAAATATCATAAGTGCCAACATCTGGCGCTACCTTAGCGAGGGTAACGACCCACAAGCCCAACCTTTTGTAAGTGGTAATAAAAACCTTTAAGAACCACCGACAAAGACCGACAACTGAGTGTTTAAACAGGATCCCGAAAGACCTTTTCACACCTTCCACCAGAAATACGTTAATCTGTACCTGCTGCTTTACCTTGGCCTGGGGGAGAGGGCGTGGTCATCCCTTAGGCTAGGAATATTCAGCCAATCAGAGAAGACTACCAAAAGAGAGGGGGATGAAGAAAGGTGGGAAATAGAAGACTAGGACTAAGACACTTCCTTTTGGGACTCAGAGGAGGGGACTTCTTTTTGGGACTCAGCTGAGGAGACTTCCTTTTGGGACTCAGAGGAGGGGACTTCTTTTTGAGACTCAGCTGAGGAGACTTCAAGCGGGGGAGTCGAGGGAGGAAGACGAAGACAGCCGGAGAGGCAGATGGACGGACTAGACGCTGAAGGAGAGCAGAGACAGGGAATCCAGATATGACGGCTGGAAACGCCTAGAAACACTATGAAGGACCAGCTAAGTGGTAACAACCATTTAGTTTTACTAATGTAAATTTGTGTTGGCAACCATACATCATTAGTTAATATAGTCGGTATAACACATGTAACTTTAATTGAATATCAAGCATTCTCCTGCAGTATGATTCTCAACTATTCATTATGTATATGGGTTTGGTTATTATTTTGTGTATAGATGTTTTTGGTTTTATTTAAGCATGTAAATATAATAGTTGGTAAACCAACGTAGTACTTTTACCATTTGCCTTGCATGCCATCAGTTAGATATAGAACAGATAGTAAATTTAAAAAACATGATACCTTTAGAAAGGAAGTCCAATAAGAGTAATATGGTTCAATCTGGGATACTATGGTGGGGGGTCTGTGGTATCTTGCCTTTGAATACCTAATTAATGTATTTTTCTGTAGATCGGTTCCCTTCTGGAACCGATATGAATACAAATATAACTATTAAATACAATAAATGCGATTCCTGGAACCCCCTACTCGCCGTAGAAACGCGAGGCCAGGAACATAGCTTTTAAAATGGCATCCCGTGTGAAGGACGTATCATTAAATTTACTATTTGTTTCTAAGATTAAAATAATTGATTTTTTGGAATTTCATTCCTATGATTAATAAAGGTGGTATTGTAATAAGTTGGTACTAAGAATAGTACAAAAGGGAAACCTCTTTGATTTAATTTAATTTGGTTGTTTGAATGTAATGAACTTGGTTGGTTTGAAATAATTGAATATATATAATTTGATTGTTTAATGTAATGACTGTAAAACTGATGAGTATTGTAAAGTACAAAAAT